ATGTTTGGTGTGACAGGGATTCGAACCCGCGACCCTCAGATTGCGAGTCGAGTGCCTTAACCACCTGGCCATCATATTCTATAGGAATATAGCCTGTGTTTTGGTTGATGCTAAACTTCTTTACAGTGTAAATAAAATAGAAATAGAAAATAGTTAAAATTACTGGTGATCTTCAAAAGTTCACCTTACTAATTAAAGAAGGTAATAAATACTAGGAATGTGCTATTCTCGGGTAAAACTGATTTCCTTTAAGAGCATAAGAGGTGCCCCACAGAATAACACGAAGGTTGATCAGGAAAGATATTACAAAGTAATTCTGAATTCTTTGAACATGACTGAATTTGGGAAAGAAAAACACTGGACACACTATAAAACAAAATGAAATGATCTATATTTATCTCAAAAAATCAACAAGATTTGTATTTTAGGATGGAGGACAGTGCTTTATTGGAGAGAGCTATACTTCCTTAAGTTGTAAACCTTGCTGAAACTCTCGAAGTTATTCCAGTCTGAGAAAAAACATAACATCTTATACACGAAACAACAATGATATATTCTCCTATGGCGCTTGCGCTATACACTTTACTTGTGGCCATTCCAATTATAATATAAGGGAGGCTATAGCCTCGAGACATCACTTGAGTTGACAGTGGAGGAATTTGCGCTCGAATTTAATACACAACACGTACAACTTTGCAGAAACATTTTAAAGGAGAAAACAAAGACGATACCAAGATGAAAGACAGAATAAATTTTATAGAGCGAAATAAGTTCAACGATATTTTTTTACCAACGTTCTATGTGGAAACTGCACATGACTGAATTAATGAAATTTTTGAAGACTTGTATATTAATAAAAATATATTATCATATTAATATATAAAATTGATGTTATATATTTGCAGAAAAAATATTCAAATTCTGAAACTTGAATATGTTTGAAACAAGCATTGTTGTGTTTTACGTTATTATGAGTAAAATTAATAGTAATAATATCCACTATGATTACAGCTATGTATTCAATTTAATGTGACTTTGAATAAAAAGAATTACCGCTATATTTTTCGAAACAAAAGTCACTATCTTCTGGAGGGTTTGATTTAATATTTTCAACAGCAATAACATAATTTCATATTCAGGAAACATTCGAAAGCAATTCATCTAACGTACATGTGAAAAAATTAATTATAGCATGGTAATTTAGGGAGGATTTGGAAAGTAGTTGATGTATTAATAAACGTAGTTAAAGATTTATTACACAATGAGTATTGGTAGTTCTTAGAAACTGCCCTATACAAACGATATCAGCTTCAATCTCTCACAGTGTATGATTAAAACTAACTTACTAAGAAAGCTTTAGATAATAATTTATTTACACTACTATTTCGATTTCAAGTGTGTATTTTTCTTGTTGCCATACTAAGTCATATTGCTTTTGAGTAGACGGCGTTAAAATCGCATTAGCTATTTGGATGGAGTGTTTACACTCTAAAAATATTTTGTTATTGATTTGTTTAATATTGATTTAAAGCCGTTAATTAATACGGCTCTAACAATGGTTAAAGTGTTTTTAAGGCGTCTTGACGAGAGGCATAAAGATATCGAAATACCCAAAGGGAAAACTACGATAGGAAGAGGGCCCTTGCTTGCTGTTAGTGACTTTGTTACTTTGATTTTAATAAATAATATATATACTTTTATATTTTTAAATATTTTATAGTTATTTATACTAATACTTTTGTTAGTGTAAATATAATAACTAGCATTTATTAATTTATTCTGAAATTTACAAGTGTAATATATTCGCAAATTACTCTTCAGTGCTTTACACTTGCACAACTCAACTTCAAGTTACGCTGATTTACAGTTACACAGTGCTGGTGAACTCAATAACTGGCAATAATTTTAATAAGTTAACTTAGAGTTTTATCACATATTTAAGAAGTTGATCACTTTTTTTATTATTGAAAAAGATGCTTTTTAAAGTTATTGACATAAGAAGGATCGAAGTAACACTAACAGAAGACTATATCAGTATATGGCCCATTGAAGATATCATTCATTCAGGCCTAACTTACCAAAATGGCAAGAAATGAATCAAAAGCATAAAAAAATATACTTAAAATCCACACCTATCAACTAAGAGTTAATGATATATCAAATAACATAGTAGTAATACATACTACATAATTAAATCATTTTACAAGTTCGTAACCCAGAAATTTATTTGTTCATTTTGAATATAACTAAACATGCACTGTTTTCCTATGTCCCAGAATTTTTTTTTAATTATTCTACACCCAAATGCATAATTTTATGCAGAGTTAATCACAGTTTAATAATTCCTTTGTTGTTTTGTAACTTTGTTCTTTCATTGGGCAGGTTCTTTTAGATTATTTGTTAGAAATAATTTTTAATCCTCTCCATGCAATGTTAATAAGTTAGTTTATTTCTTCCATAAAATCACACTAACCATTTGGCTACTTTCACTGTACAGTAACTTGTATGCCTAATTTACAAATGATGTTTCAATGGAAACATTAATGGTACATTAGTGTGTTTTAGTTAAATAAGGTAAGATTGGACAGTATGACTAATGTACAAATAAACTTACTTGTGCAATTTCACTACTAATCGATTGAGTAACTTAATATATGTGATAACTAACACTGATCCAAATACTTCACTAAATGATTAATACTCTCCCAGTTGAAAAAGTCTGGATTGCTACTAACTGTTTACTAATACTAGTATATATAACTAATATGTCCATCTAGATCTTGATCTTTCACCCTCATATCAGAAATTCCTCTAAAACATTTGAGGCAAGTTGTAAAAGGTTTAAACATTTTTATTTTTCTATTTAATGAAATCCCTGAACAGTACATTTTCACCCTTGTACCTGTGGTTTTAACTTTAAAGTGTAAAATGAATAGGGCTGTAATGAAGGTTAGATTTTGAACTTCAGAGGTTTGAAACATATTACTGAATGAAGGTTTGAACCTTTGATAAGACAAATTTGCATAATTTACTGATGATCTCACCATAACTACAAGTTTTTATGTGAGTGCAAACCTTTTTATTTTACATGTAATCCATATAAATGAAATGAAACATTCACATATAGTTAAGAAATGTTATATGAAACCTTCACATTTAGGAATTGTCCAGTTTCTCACCTGTAGAACTGGACTTTGTCCTCCTACCAGTATAAGTTGTGTGTCTTTAACAGTTGGCTAATCCATTGTCATCATCCTCCTGACTATCCTACTGTCAGTCATCTCTTCTCTTTCTTTGCCTGGCTTTTCAACAGTAGATTAGCTGTCTCCTTTGTTCACAACATTTTGCCCTTATTAATACCACAGGGTATTTTTCCTCTCCAGGTTTTTCCACTTTGTTGTTTTGTCCTTTCCTTTTCTGTAAACCCTATTATCCTACTCCTATACCTTTCTGGGACCTCAAAATCATTCTGTTCACTGTGTATCTTTTGAATTGCTGGCAGCTTTCACCTTCTTCAAACTTCCTCTCACAAGTTGTTGCAGTCATTCAGATATTTATACAATCAATTTTTTTCCATACTTTCGTCCATTGCTCTTATGTATTTTTTTATTCTGATTGGTCCTTCCTTCCTAAGACCTTGGCCATTTAGGAAGGTGATCTCTCTTTCTCTCCTATTTCCCTTCCATTTGTTCAATCACCTCTGTGATTGATTGGACCTAGACAAACAATTGTGTCATGTTCGTTGCTACTTATTTCAAACTTCACACTTTTGAGGCTTCTGTCACTGATTCTTCATCCCTTGGAATTCCTCTTCCTTATACCCTTACAGGTAAGTCCAAATGATTCTATGTTTAGTCTACTCTTCATCGAGAGTTGATTCTCACAGACTGTTCCACATTCTTTCCTTTAGATATGTCATCTCTTTCAGTCCCTCACTGCTCATTTCAAACAGCTGCTGGTTGAGTTCCTTTAGATGGGCATGTACCTTCATCACCCACTATCTTCACAATCTGGGCGTCTTGTCTCCTGAAGGTTATCATCTGGCTCTGCCATTCTACAAAGTCCTCCCACTGTCTCTAGACTGATAAGCACCCTTCTCGCCACAGCTGTCTCAATCTTTTTCATTTACCCTCTAGTCATTGGTAAATTTTTTGCATCACTACAGCAACATGTGCTGATCATGTGACCATGCTCCTTCAATCCCATTGCACCCTCTATACAAGCACAGATAGCTCCCTCTACCCTTGCGGTACAATCCTCACTTTCTCGATTGGCATTCTTGTGTATAGACATGTGTTTTCCATTTTACATATGATTGCACAAATTTTGATTGTGCTTGATCTCCAATTATTATGACTTTCAAGTTCATGTTTATACTTGTTTGTTTTTGGGATGTTTCTGTTTCCTAAAATCTACTTTGTTCATAGGAATTCAGGTTTCTTATGGTGGTTGATAATTTTCCTGCCATAAGTAGACAGTGGTTATAATACAATACCTCAGTCTCAGGTTTCATGATATCTACTGAGGAAGCACAGACTTTTGTTCACAGGGAGTTTGTGTCTTGCATTTGGCTGGCAATATTTTCCTTTCAAGATAGATATTGTTCTTTTTCCCAGAAGTTCTGTGGTAAGTTTTTCAGTTTTCTTCCCACTTTATTCACTTCCCAGATCTCCTGTCCTCCTCCTCCTCAGGATTGTACCTTGTCTGGTCATCTTGCTCAGTCTGTTCATGTACCACTACATAATGGAGTTATCTACCATGTGGAGTCCACTCGACCAGGAGTTTACTCTTGTCCTTCTTTGTCTCCCTATACATGAGAGTTTATCTACAGTCATCTCACTTCTCCATGGAATCCTACCTCTCACTTTGATGGGTTTTTATGCCCCAGTGCCATGTTCTTTTCTTTGGTTCCTATAGGTGAGTTTTGCCTTTCTGTTCTGAGTGCTCACAGACTGTGTTTCTTCAGCTCTGTATGTGTTGTGTGAAGTGGTATGCTCCTTTTTTCACACCAACTTCACTTGTTGGGTCTTCAGACTCGCATTTCATGGACAATAGGCTTTTGCTTTCCTCTTTTTGTGCCTGGCCAGTCACTCACATCTGCTTCCTTCTTTGAGAAGCTATTCAGATGGGTTTCATTTTTGGTTGGAGAAGTTCTTTACTACCCCCTCACAGTATTTTGTTCTTTGGGGGTTCTCTTCACTTCCTTTTTGGTCAAGCCCAGCCTTCTCCACTATGGCTCCAGGATATTGAGCCCACAGGCATTTTTGCCTTCCCTTCTCTTTCTCTCTATTGAAATTTGGTCTTCCTTGGAAGTACTCATTCTTTTGGGTTGAACACACATGAATTTCCATCATTGGATACTTGTCAACTAGTGTAACTTCCCTTAGGATCCCTTGGACCATCCCAGTTTCCTCGATTTCCCTGTGATTTTGGGTCGGTGGTCAGTTGAGGAGGCTACTCTCCATATCTACATCCTGGTACCTTGGCAGTTCATTGGGCTCTGTATCCTTTCCTCCCTTTCATGCAGGGGAGAATAGTTTTGGTTCTTTCTGTAATCCCACTTTTGTCAGATTTATCACCAAGAAAGGGGGGACCATGTACTGATCTCTGTTTGGTCAAACTCTGGATTTCATGTACTGAGCCCAAGACCTTGATGTGACTATTCTGGCAGGTCACGTTTCCTGATTCTTGTGGCCGATCTCTTATCATATTTCAGGATACCATCTGGTGGCTGGTGTTGCCTGCCCTAGTATGCTGATTTTTATATCTTAGCACTGGTTGCTGTCGGTGCGAGAGATGAACGCCGTATGATGAAAGTCCCCTCGAGGTGGATTCCTGTACGTGGTGAGGGAACCTCCCAGGGAAGGTACTGTATTTTCAGTTACTTTCTCTGGGATCTAAACATCCACCCATGTGTTTGCCATGCGTAGCAACCAGTGAAGGGGAGGAGAGGATCCTG